GGCATGATCCATACGATGCAAACGAAATGTGCAAATGTACAACTTTCATAAATGACTCTATTTATAGAAATGCTAGATATGTTCTTGATTCTCCATGTGTCATATTATTCTATCATCTGTTCATGGGTCTCAGAAAAATACGTTAGTTGAAAAAGTTTACTTCATGATATTATTCAAAGGCATAATGGTCTTATGATACTCCAAGAGATTTTATTAACATACTTTTCATGCATTGCATTCATGTACATTGACCCATGACCAGATGGTATTATATACGCGTATATATATATATATATATATATGTATATGGGATATGGAAAATGTTATGGTATTATATACGCACCACCACTTGATCAGCTGGTATACATTGATGATTTTGACCACAATGGTCGAGTTGATATGATGGGACGCCTTTAGAGGCCGATGATGTTATGAAACATGTACCTATGCACGACATGACACTCATACGCATATGCATGACACTATAATTATTTTATGATTTACAAAGTTATCCAGACTTATACGTGGAGTCATATACTCTATATTTCCTCCATGTCTGTTATGTACTTATTTATGTGCCTTACATACTCAGTACATTATTCGTACTGATGTCTCTTTTTGCCTGGGAACGCTGCGTTTCATGTCCACAGGTCCCCATAGACAGGTCGAGAGCCCTCAAAGTAGTCTATCAGCTCAGCAGAAGATGTTGGTGCGCTCCATTTGCTTCGAAGTTGCTTGTTTGGTTAGTATGAGTTAGATGTGTATTATTTGGTGTAGCGGGACTCTGTCCCAACCTTTATGAAAATTATGTATTCTTAGAGGCTTGTAGACAGATGTCATGTATGTAAAAGATCGTATGGTCTTGTCGGCCTATGTTCAGTGTTCAAGTGGTTATTTTGGTCTTAAAGGCCCATATGTCTTATGTATAAGTTGGCATTACCTGTTGTATTCTACCTATTTCATGGCAGCTTCTCCGGCTCAGTTATTTATGATAACATGTCATGAAAAGATACGTTTTATTGGTACTCGATTGAGTAAGGTACCGGGTGCCCGTCGCGGTCCATCGGTTTGGATCGTGACAATAAGACGTTCTCACCTTCATAGATAATCAGTTGCTTGTGATCACCAATGGTGACAGATGTTGGGACTGGTGATTCAGTGGAACTTGGATGCAGATTCTGGCATATCTCCCCCTTAGCGTTGCTGAGGTGCACATATCGATTTTGACAAGCTTCCCAAGCTTCCTGCCAACTTTTTCTAGAACTTCTTTGTCATAGAATTCGATGGGCACCTGGAGAAGTCGTACCTATATCGCAGTGAAGATAGGGTGGCTTCTTGTGGGACAAATTTTGGTTCCCATCGTCTGATACAGTGGAAACTCTCGGATACGAACCATGGGCCTTGGTGTATAGCCTTGATCAAATTTTCTTCCTTACTAAATTTGACTATGAAGAAATCTCATCCTAGGTCAATCAAGATTAAATGTTCGAATGGGTTCCATAGTTCAATTAATTTGAATCGGAGAAGATAATGTGGCACACGCCGGCCAAAAGTTTAATGATGACCGAGAAACGCCATGGCTCATACAATCTACTTTTGTCCTCTTGGGAGAGAAGAATTGGGCCTAGATTTTCCTTGTCCTTTAGATCAAATTCTGGCTTTTCAAGATCCGATACAAAGTGGTCTGTTTATCAAGAAGCATTTCTTTGTAGGAGTGTGTTTGGGAAGTATCTTCCTCCATATGGTTTGTATTTGGTGGTTCCGATGGTATATTAGGTATTTTGGGTGTGTTGTCCATTGGGTTAGGTGTAGTAAGAGATGAGAGTCTCTCTCTAGAAAGTCTGTCTCTCTATGTTACTCTCCTATCTCCAGGGATTTCAAGTATTGTGTTGGAGTATGCTCCTTAAAGGATTTGAGGTCATTTGGGCCATTTTACACTTGGAACAATAAACATGGTCATAGTAGTAGGGTATGTAGTAAAATTGACAAAGTCCTGATGATAGTAGTAGGGTATATAGTTAAATAGTAAGTATTAATTGTAAGTTGATAGTAATACTGTTTTTTTTCATAGTTGCACTAAAAAAAATATTTTTTTTTAAAAAAATTGGCCAAACATAATTTTATCAAATACTAAAAGGACTTCTTAAATGAATTTAGCCAAACATAATCTCTAAAAGTAGTTTTTGAAAAATTTGTTTTGACAAAAATATTTCTCAAAATTAGTAGTTTTAGGAAGCTTGGCCAAACAAACTACTATTTATAGTCGATTTGGCCAAACTTTTAAAATTATTTTGAAAAGTGATTGTTGATAGAAATGCTTTTCAAAAAGTACTTTTGAAAATAGGAGTTTGTGTTTGGCTAATCAACTTGAAATCACTTTTGTCAATATTAGACATCAATTTATGTTTGGACAAACTTTAAATAATTGCTTTTAGTGAGAAGCTGTTTTTCACCTTCTCAAAGCAACTTGTGTTACTATCCAAAAGTATTTATGTTTTTTCAAAAAACTTGACCAAATACATCAAATCTCTAAACTAAATATTTTTAGCTTCCCAAAGATTGGCCAAACAAGCTATTATTAGTAACACTATACTTCTTTTAGCATTTTGAATATACTTATTTTATGGGGTAAATTTCACAAATGATCATATTACTATAGTCTAATAAACAATTAAAATAGGAGAAATATGAATATATTTTAGCCCTCCCAAAAATAATAGCTGATAAAGTACTTTTTATATATTTTCGGCTAGCAAATGTAATTAGTTTCGACCGGTCGGTTAATCTTATATTTTTTCCTTAAAATAGGAATGACCCAACCCATCCCTTAAAATAGAAATGGCACAACCCAGCCTGACTCAATAACCATATACGCAAGTTAAAATAATACGAAAGTGAACTCTTCCCCCATAAAAACCTTAGTTCGGAATGTATGAGATTCTGACAAAAAAATAAAGAAATAAGATGTATAATTTGAGAGCACTTGAAATAAAAATGCTACGAATTTGAATAAAAATCTTGAAAAGAAAAATAAAAGATAGAAGTATCATGTTTTGAAGGATTTACTATTCACTTTTAGTATTATTTTTATTTGTATATATGGTATTGGGTCGCGTGGGTCAAGTCAGGTTGGGTCATTCCTATTTTAATTGGATTATTATTTATTAGACTGAAAATAAAAAATAAATACAAAATAAGAAAATACTACTGAAAAATTATATCGATTACTATGATTTTTGTGTAAGTTAGTAAAAGTTTTTTGATTTTTGTGTGAGAAAATATAGTTATATGACTTTGGTGAAAAAAATTATAGTTGTATAATTTTTGTGTGAGAAAAAAATTATATGACTTTAATGAAAAAATATCGTAGTTATATGACCATCCGTGAAATTTAACCTTATTTTTGGCATGTTCAAGTTTTAAAGTTATATACTCCGTAGTATAATAATTGTTCTACATATTCAAGTCAAAGACGTTGGTGTCAAAGAAGGAACACAAAGTCAAATACACATAAAGTCGGCCTTAAATGACCTTTCTTTTATACTACTAAAAGTATAAAGCTTAAAAAAAAAAACAATCCATTTATTAATCCAACTTGGCTCTGTGTCTTACCATTTTCGGACACCAGCAACAATAATCCACAATCTAAAACCCCCAATTGCACACAGTTGCTTAGCTCTAATCTGGTTCTGATTATATCCAAATTAAGGAAAAATTCGGAGTTGAAGTTGCCGGAATTGACAATTTTGTTAAAGTTGAGGGTGGTGAATTCTTGAGAAATTTCCTCAAAGCGCGTTGATTTTTGGGTTGGTGGAATCAATTAGGTCTTCAATATTTGAGCCGTATTTCTAGGGTTTTGTTCATTTCACTGTGTGCTCAAGAGCCTCTCTATTTGGTCTTTTCTGATTGGTGAGATTACTTCTCTTTGTTTTTATATGGATTTTTTCATTTCAATGCTTGTTGCTGTGTAATTAAGGTGCTAGTTTCTTTAGTAATTGAAATGAGCTCTTGAAATACTTGTAATTTCATCAACAATTGCAAGTCGTTTTTACTATGGTGGTGCTTGCTTAATTATTTCCTACTTCCTCTGTCCCATTTGATGTGACACAGCTTTTCTTTTTAGTAGAATGATGAAATAATTTTGATTTTTAACTTCCTGTTTTACCTTAATGAGATGAATTATAGCCATATAAATATTAATGGGATGTTTTAAATCACAAATTTCAAGTCTTTTTTCCTTAAATTTTGTGTCAAATCAATTTGTCGCATGAATTGGGACAAAAGGAGTATATTGTTTGTATAATACAACAGTGAAATATCTTTGTGCTACATTGTGGTGCTAATTTGGGGAGCAAGTCCAAACCCCATGATCATAACTTAAAACGTAGAGGCTATAGAGAAGGATTTTATTAGTAGTTGATATTGATGAGATCAGAGTGAAAGCCATGGCTTGGGTCATTTAATAGAATATAGTGTAGAATGAAACATCTCACATAGTAATAGAGTTTAGTCTTGTTATAAACCCATCTTAGATTCCCACTTGCTTTTCTAGCTGTGTTTCAAGTCTCAAATAGAATTGTGTTCTGATAGTATCTAACTGCAGTGAAATAACAACTTTGAAATCTAAATAGTGAGTGTTATGTTGTCGGAAGAATCGCTGAGCGGTTAAGGCATTGGAGTGACGATTTGAGATTTCAGGTCAAAATCCCCGTTATGACACTCAGTATGACCGCAACTGCTCCAGTCTTCTCGGCAGGATTATTTGGTACTTGTGCTTGTGTTTAGTAGCAGTTTGCCAGGTGGATCAGTTAGCATGTTGTCCCGAACACCATTGTTACTAAAAAATGTGAGAGTTATGTCCTATAGACATCCTGGAAATTAGGTTAGAAGTCATTAAACTAGATATTAGGTTAAAGTAGGAAGTCATTAAACTAGATAGTAAAACTTGTAGCGAACGACAAATGATGCCAAATGNTGTTGCTGAATAGATGCTTGACCCTAATTTAACAGAAATATTCTCCATTCAGATATTAAAGTTACTACAACGCGACAAAATCTTACGTGGTATTTCTCATGTGGAGCATGAAGTTCTCGGTAAAAGTACGGAAAAAGAATCTATAATTTTTGGGTTCAGAAGATGTGTTATTTCCCTTCCCCGTAAGTGTGGTAATATTGACTTTAAAGGTCACGTCTCAAATAGATAGAAGATTCAAGAAAAGAGGGCTCTCTAGGAGGGTGTTTGGATTGGCTTTTAAGTTGGTCAAAACAGCTTTTAAGCTCTTTTAGCTTTTTTCAGTGTTTGGCAAAGTCAAAAAGTGCTTAAAATAACTAAAAAACTGCTTAAAACAAGCCAAAATCAATGAGCTGGGCAACCCCAACTTATTGCTTTTTGGCTTAAAAGCTATTTCTGCTGAAAAGCCACTTCTTTTAAGCCAATCCAAACGGGCTCTAGATCTCATACTTATTCTCACATGGATGTATAAGTTGCTAACTTGATGATCTGACAAACCAGGCCTTATGTAAGTGTAATAACAACTAATCCTAATTCCTTAGTTACAACCAGTGTTGTGAAGAGCATGAAGCGAGGAAAAACGACAACCCCCATTTCACGAGAAGCGAGAAGCGAAGCGCTTGCTTTTTTTAAGTGAAGCGGAATTTAAAAAAAAATTAAAATGAATAATGCATAGACAACATATGTAATTGTAAGCAAATGTTCAATACTTCAATTAAAAAACTAAAGAGTAGCATCAATTAAAGCACAAAATGAGCATACTATTCTTCTACAAGATTGTCAAATTCTTGTATTCCACTATCATTATTATATTGCTCGTCATCTTCTTCATCAACTAGGGACAAAGTAGCTGCCTCTTTTCCCTTCCTCTGTGAACTTGAAGTTGAGGTATTCCCCCTCAAACCATAAATCCTCTCCCCAATTCCACGCGCCTCCGCAACATCACCCCAAATGAAATCAGAAGTATCCGCAAATACTTCTTCATCTGCATGATCTTCCGGAGCTCCAGTTAGCCATTCATTAGCATCATCGATGTTGTCCACACTAATTGGATCAATTACATTGCGAGCGTTGTAACGACGCCTCAATCTTCTATTGTACTTAATGAAGACTAGATCATTGAGATGCTTCAAGGTTAGTTTGTTCCTCTTTTTGATATGAATCTGCAAATAATAAGTAATTAGTAAGATTAGGACAATTAAGATATAATTTAATTATCTCAATATACTAAATCTTTCTTCTTATTTCTTACATGCTCAAACACGCTCCAATTCCTTTCACACCCGGATGAGCTACATGTTAGACTTAGAACCTTGATGGCAAACTTTTGTAAATCTGGAGTGGAATGACCATATTGCTTCCACCATTCAACTGAAGAGGTAGAACAAATTTTCAAAACATAATATTGATAAAGAAATAACTTATTAACTATAAAACAACATATAAGTACTCGCTCACCTGGTGGCTTCGTCTTTCTTTGTCTAATCGCCATGTTTTTTCCAAAAAGTTGCCCAACATTCCTATAAATACTAAATTGCTCTGTTATTTTATCTTGCACGGATTCTTCAGGTATCAACTTCTCAATACATTCATAGTATCCATTCCACAAAGGTTTATCTGCTAGAATCCTCTCTTCATTGTCATAAATAGTTCCGGGTTCAAAACAAGTCCAGCTGCATGCAAAGGGCTATGAAGTTTACTATCCCACCTTTTATATATGATCTCAAAGACTCTTTTGTATTTTCTTTGTTCAAGCCTCCTTTGCCCTATCCATTGCTTCGTACAGGTAGCCCATTGGTGGCCTTTGCTCCCAACCACCAAACGTAGCACTTTAACTAAAGGACCACCAAACTTCAATGCATGAACCACATTGTTCCAGAATGAAGGAGAAAGTATAATATCTGCGGATTCTCTCCCTCGAGCTTCCTTTCCATAGGCATTATTAGTGTACTCATCTGAAACAAACAACTTCTTCAAATTGCTTTTTTGCTCATACATCCTATGCAAAGTCAAGAAAGCAGTAGCAGATCTTGTTTTTGCAGGTTTCACCAAGCTTCTTTTTTTAGTGAATCTCTTCATCATATTCAATAACAAAGACATTTGAACAATATAGGAATGCATTCTAATTGCATGATTAAAGACTGTACTGAAGGGTCTTTCCTTGAAAATGTCACCGAAGATCAAATTAATGAAATGTGCTGCACACGGAGTCCAATAGATATACGGGTTCCCAACATACATCAAATCACCAGCTTTAACATTTTCACTGGCGTTGTTCGTGGCAACTTGAACAACATTTTCTGCTCCAATAGAGTCTATTGTACTCTTGAACAAGGAGTACATTTTGGTTGAATCAGTCGAAGAGTCGCTTGCATCAATGGACTCAAGAAACATGCTTACCGTTAGGAGAATTCACCAAGATATTGATGATCATTTTTTTATTTCTTGCCGTCCACTTATCCATCATAATGGAACAACCAAACTTGTTTCATTCTACTTTGTGCTCCTCCACAATTTTGTTCACATCTGCCACCCCTTTTTATAGATATGACCCTCTAACTTCATAATAAGTTGGAGGCTTCATTCCTGGACCATATTGGCCTACGACTTCAATAAAAGCGGAAAAAGTGTCGGTATAATTAACACAATTAAAAAAAAGACCTGCATCATACATCCACCGTGCAAACATTGTAACTGCACGATCCCTCAAAATCGCTTTGGCATCAATTTGAGGATTACCACTTTTTCCTCCCTTATCTCCAAATTTTTGCGGGACGTAACAATCCATAGGGCCTTTGCTCTTGCCAGTAGATCCACAACTAGAAGACATTGGTGGAAGCATCCTTCCCCGCTTTTGTGATTTTGGTGGAAGCGACGAAGCATTGTCACTTTCTTCTGTTTCATCATCGTCATCATCAAGATTATACAGCTCTTGTTCATTAATCATTTGAGTCTTTAACTCTTTTTTTTTTTGAAGGAATGCTTTCAATTCTTCCTTCACATGCCCTGAAACTTTAGGACAAGATGCGACATTTGGATCACCACCGATTAGATGCGCTTTTTGACGATAGATTCCCCCATTTGAAATCTTATCACAAAAAAGACATCTAATGGCCATCTTGTTGGTCTCGCTAACTCTTGCAGAGTAAGCCCAAGCCGGGTCTTTCCTATCTTCTTTTGGCGCCATTAAAAGAACAACTACATAACACATAAGAAAGACAATAAGAACTAAGAATAAAGGATATAAAAAATTAGAGGAATTCTCTGTTAAAAACTGGAAAAATTGGGCAGTAATTTTCTGAGAAAGAACCGAAAGTAAAAAAAAAAAAAATTCGCCAGTATTTCGCCGCTTTTTGGACGTTTAGAAAGAAGAAGGAAAATCAGAAGTTCAGAACATACCCGTTGACGTCTTGAGAATAAGTCACTGCTGTTGAAGAAGAAGAAGAAAAGCACTAGTTGATGCTTTGAGATTCTTTCAGAAATCAGAAGCAGATGAAGAAGAGAAGAAGAAGTCGCTGCTGTTGGATGTTGAAGAACCCTAGTCGCTGCTGTTGAAGAAGTCCAGACCAGTGTTTAATCCAAAAACCTCGTTTTTAATAAAATAGGGCTTGGGTATTTTAAAATAGAGAAGCGGACGCTTCTGTTGCTTCAACTCGCTTTACCGCTTCTTGCTTTTTACAGAGAAGCGGTCGCTTTTCCTGACCTGAGTCGCTTCAACAGCCTGAAGCGCTGCCCTTCACGCTTCGCATCGCTTCTCGCTTAAAGCGATGAAGCGAGCACTTTTTTAGTCACGGGTTACAACTAGTGAATATTATTATATAGATTCTTTTGTTCCATTATATTATGTTCTTAGCTTAGCCTACGTTGATTTTCAAAAGAGTTTTAAGTCTTTTGGAATCACTTTGCTTTTTGTGATTTCAGGTCATTCTTGTCCTGTTTTAACACTGTCAATCATCGTATCGTTGCCCTTAACCCGTACATCTAGAGGTTAGACATGGACTAACTCAGGCAACCTTCTCATATTTTATCTTCTATGTGTACTACTTGCACCATCTGTCGGCTGTGATTATCTCTAGTGGTCCAATCTTGTATGATTGTATATTCATTTTATTATCTACAGTTCTACCACATTCATATTATGCATATATTGGACCTTCGTTTGATACAACATTGTTTCCCTCTATTCAGCAATCTCTTCGAAATGTCATTTTTCATGTATGATGTTGTTAATCCCATGGACAAGTTGTAACAAATATACAATTTGATTGTCCTTGTTGTAGTAGCCTTGATGTCTTTCCAACATGACTGCTAAATTTGCAACAACAACAGCCAAATGAAATCTCACAAGTGGGGACTGCTAAATCTGCATAACTGCTAAATTTGCATAGTGGATATTCCTTTTCTTTGTAAACATGCTTGTGCAATAAATGAGTTAATATTCATATTTGTATAAGTTTTAGACTTTTATTTTTTTGATACTCAGTGAAGTCATCAGACTTCCCTGTTATGCACTCTAATAACATGGCTCATACAAATAATGTAATGGGCATAAATTTTTACTTTATCGATACACTTTCAGAGTATTTAACTCAAACAGGTAGTGTAGTACATAATTGAAGGAGGAGACACGTTATTACTAAATTTCTGAAAAGAGCATGGGAGGAACTCTGGGAAATAAAATGTAACACATAGAGAAGGATGAGGGAGCACGTTTAGTCCAAAGTGGCAAAGTCCAAGAGTAGCATTGCTAAAAGTGTGATATGAGAACACATTAAGATTATGAACAAACTTAAGAAAAAAAATTATGAGCATGACCATCATCTTCCTCGTGACACTTGTGTCTTTGAAATATACTTTTTTTGGCTCAAATGAAGCAAATTTTAAATCCTTTTAGAATGTCAGAGATCCTTATCTGAATGACTGTTTTAAAGATAAGAATCAGCTGTATTCCTGGAAATTCTCAGCTAGTGATTTAGCTAAAGTGCTTCTATACAATATTGCGACTTAATTTTCTCTTAATTTTTGGCATAGATTGCAGATCAGTTTTCTTATCTCCTGAATTGAAGAGATAATTTATCCATTTTATCCTCTGTGATTCAACTGAAGTGTATAATTTTGGTGTATATTATTGATTTGGTTTACTGAGGACTTTGATTCTAATTGACCAGGTGGAATGGAGATATCATTGTTAAAAGTGCTTCTCAACAATATCTCCTGTTTTTCCCATTTATCATCAAGTGATCACATAAGTGGTGAACTGGTTCGTAGATATTATTGTAAGATTGAGGATATACTGAAGCTTGTAAAGCCGATTCTTGACGCCATCGTTGATGTTGAAGCTGCTTCTGGTGAGCTGCTTCTGAAAGCGTTTGCTGGGCTGGCTCAATGTGTTGATGAACTGAGGGAGCTATTCGAAACCTTGGAACCGCTGTGCAGTAAAGTTTATTTTGTACGTTTGGAGATCTGTCCTCTTGTCATAACTTTCATGTCTTCAATAAGCAGATTATCTTATTACAGTCTGCACTAATAGTACTTAAAACTTTTTAAAATAAAGAAAACTTTATTGTTGTTTCTTTTTGTGCTCATATAATCTTCATGACTAACATGTAACACATTTTCAGTATTTTCAGCTAAATTGTATAGTATCTTTCTTGCTGATGTTTTGATTTTTGATGATATATAGGTCCTGCAAGCTGAACCATTGATTGGGAAAATTCGATCATGTAGCCTGGAAATACTTGAGCTTCTTAAATCTTCTCATAAAAGCCTTCCAGCTGATGTAACTTTGACAACTCTTGAGGTAGGAACTAAGAACATGTCTGTTCTTTCTATCCTTTAGTTTTCATCTAAGCTGCTCGGACTCTTCACTTTTGGTGACGCACCCGTGTTGACAGGGGCGTATGCAGAAATTTTTATAAGTGGTGTCGAAAGTTTTAAAAGAACGAAAATAAATAACTTTAGTTATCATATTTTTAGACAAAAAATAACCCTAGACCATTGATTTTAATCTTAAGTTAGAAAAGGTCCTAGTTCAATTCTACATAATCAGTTGAGGTTTGAACCTCTGACCTATTAGAGCAAAATCAAACACTTAACCAACATGCCAAGAGACAATTTGTATCAAGTGGTGTCATTTTTTTCTACTTATTCGTTTTCTCACGGTATTGATGCATATATTTAGCCGACGAAGCGGTGTCGCGTGACACCGCTTCGTTGAAGGTGCATCCGCCCCTGCGTCTTGACACGACATGGGTGTGGGATCCGTAGCGGATTTGGTCAACTGCTTTTAGGTACTTTGACCAAAATCGACGGAGAAATTCAGGACAGAAACAAATCAAAGCAAAAGTTAGGGTTGAAACTAAAGAAAATGGAATACCTTTTATATAGAAATTTCTATGTTAGTCCTTTTCCTTTTATCTCCTTCTTGGATTCTCCGCTTGATCAATATTTTCTCTTCTTGGAATACCTTGTAATTTTTTCCACATAATATTCATAATTTAGACATATTTCTAGAACTCTATTTTTAGATATTTGAATTACTTTTAGCTGTCCCCGCACCTATATCCGTACCTGGATTTGTACTCCGAATCTTAAAATTTACATCATGAAAGAGCCGACCTCTAGATCCACACCCGAGTCCGAGCAACTTAGAGTTTCATTCATCTGACCCTGCTGTGAAATCTTCCTCCCCACTCTCTCTGTCTCTATCTCTCTCTCTCTTTCTTCATTGTGTTTGTTAATTTTCCTCCAATTTTAACGTGGATGTCTTTTGTTTGGATGGCAGCTCTATATACTGAAAATTAAGTATGTAGATTATGAAATGATATCAGTGACAATCACAAAGGTTATTAAAGCTCAAGTGGAAGGCTTGGGAACCAGCTCAGATAGCTTTGCCAAAATTGCTGATTGCCTAAGCTTGAACTCAAACCAAGAGCTTTTGATTGAGCTTGTGGCCCTTGAAAAATTGAAAGAGAATGCTGAACAAGCTGAAAAGAGTGAAGTTGTTGAATATATTGAGCAAATGATAACTCTTGTTTCTCATATGCACGATTGCTTTGTTACTACAAAACAGTCCCAGAGTTGTACCGCTGTGCCAATACCTCCTGATTTTTGCTGTCCTCTTTCACTTGAGTTGATGACTGACCCTGTAATTGTCGCTTCTGGTCAAACCTATGAGAGGGCTTTTATTAGGAGATGGATTGATCTTGGCCTCACTGTTTGCCCCAAAACACGGCAAACTCTGGGACATACAAATCTCATTCCTAATTACACTGTTAAGGCACTTATCGCAAACTGGTGCGAAATAAACAATGTAAAGCTGCCTGATCCCATGAAGTCTTTGAGCTTGAACCAGCCATCTTTGTCACCAGACTCCACGCAATCTTCAGGTTCTCCGAGAAAGAGTTTGATTTCATCAACTGTAAGCCAAAGAGAAGAATCATCTCCATCTCATCCCCGTTCCTCTTCAGAGGAATCTTTACCTGGAGTTGGTGGTAATATTCTTGCTTTTGATGTTGAAAGGATGCGTATTAAGAGTGAAGACCGGATGGCCCACTCCGGAGAGATAAGTTCACATGGTCATAGTACATTAGTAGCTGATGACCAGTTCCCTCTGGGTCATAATCGAACAACCTCGGCACCTAGCACGCTTTCTAATTCAAACTTTTCCCCGGTAATTCCTGGTGATGGAAACAAGTTGTCAGAAGATTCTTCTGTTGCTTCAGGGGATGTTGGGTTGGATTCCAAGCCTGCTGCTTCTGTCCTTCCAAAGGAGCCAGAATTTCCATATACACCAGAGATGAGACCTCGTAATCAACTGATCTGGCGCAGACCAACCGAGAGGTTTCCAAGAATAGTTTCTTCCGCTACAGTTGAAAGAAGGGCTGATCTTTCAGAAGTTGAGGAGCAAGTAAAAAAGTTGATTGAGGAGTTGAAGAGCACTTCCCTTGATATGCAGAGAAATGCTACAGCTGAACTCCGGTTACTTGCCAAGCATAATATGGATAACCGTATGGTAATTGCAAATTGTGGCGCTATCAGCTCGTTGGTTAACCTACTTCACTCAAAAGACATGAAAGTACAGGAAGATGCTGTTACTGCACTTCTCAACTTGTCAATTAATGACAACAACAAGTGTGCCATTGCAAATGCTGATGCAATCGAACCTCTGATTCATGTCCTCCAAACAGGGAGCGCCGAGGCCAAAGAAAATTCTGCTGCTACTCTTTTTAGCCTTTCCGTGATGGAGGAAAACAAGATGAAGATTGGGAGGTCTGGAGCAATCAAACCTCTTGTTGATTTACTGGGAAATGGAACTCCAAGGGGCAAGAAAGATGCAG